AAACAACAGCGGGCCCAATACACTGCCCTATGGTACCCCGCTTGTGACAGGTACAGATGATGATTTCGTGCCAATAATCATTCCACACACTGCTTGCGGTCATGTAAAAAGTCCTCTATATGCGCTAGGACATTTCCCCGAATTCCGTACCCTTCCTGCTTGATTTTCAGCCTTTCGTGGGGTACACTGTCGAAAGCCTTGGCAAAATCTAGGTATATATTGTCGATATTACCATCCCGTTCCAGAATATGGGTCCAAATATCCAATACCTTGAGCAATTGTGTTAAGCAGGAGCGCCCCGGCATAAAACCGAGTTGGCAATCCTTTACAAGGTTGTTTCATAGTAGATGTTCCATCATGGCATCTCTGATAATACTCTCAAGTACTTTACATATTATGCTGGTCAGGCTCACCGGTCTATAGTTGTTCATGGAGTGATGATCGCCCTTCTTGAAGATTGGACTTACATAAGCAATTTTCCAATCACTGGGGACCTTTAATTCACCCAGTTGTGCAAGCTCGTTGCACAACTCTCTTAACACTCTGGTATGCACCATGTCAGGGCCGGGACTCTATTGGACCTTTAGCTTTGTCAGTTTATTTCTAATACCCTCTTCTGTGAACACAATGTGGGTCAGTGCTGTGTCGAACAGTCTGTCCTCAAACGCAAGAAAGTTAATCGCATCCTCTCTTGTGAACACCGAGGAAAAGAAGCTGTTCAATGCCTCAGCTTTACAGTATCCTGGTCAGAATCTGTGTAACTACCATCTTCAAGCTTCAGGTCTGTTACTCCTACTCTCGTTTTTAATTTTGACTTTGCATAGCTGTAAAATGCCTTTGGGTTTGACCTGACCTCTCCTGCAACCAGCCTCTGGAACTCCTTTTCAGCCCTTCTACATTCTATCTGTGCTTGGTTTCTGGCTCTTGCATACATCCTCCTGTCCTGCTCATCATTTGACCCAACCCACGTCTTGAATTTCTGGGTTTTCTTCTTAACTTTGTCGACCGCCGCATGGTTCATATGTAGGGATCCCCTCGTATTCCTAGAGGCACTGGGTTTGGTCTTGGGTATATATTTATCGATCAAATGGGTCACTTTACTAGTTATGATATTGAGCGTAGTGTCTGAGTTCTTGTGCCTTAATGAATCAGGCCAGTGGATACCCTGTAATGGATTTCTCCCCTACAAACGCTGTTTGTCGCTGAGTAGCCGACCCCACAAATTCCCCAGTGTATGCCTCGTGGTCAAGGTCAACCAGCGCCGCCATACATCACGGAGGTCAACTACTAAGCCACACCTACCTCCGCTATTTAAGACCTGACCTCGTGGTGACCGCTCTCTTTCTACCTACACCAACCAGCCAGCAACGCCTCCTCCGCCTGCCTGACAGTCCTCGCTCCCGCCGGCGAGCATGGCGACCCACAAGCTGGTCCTCCTCTGAGTATCCTCACCAACCAGCTCCCTCTACATCACGCTTGTAACCATGCTGCCACTTCCCAGCACCAAGCTGCATTGTACATCCAATACAATATGTATACAGAGAGCACATTGTGAGTTTCCTTTCTCCATCCCATCCTGAGTGTGAACCAAAATACCACGTACCCCACAAATGGTGACCCCAGAGTGACGCACTCACACAGGATGGAGGAGAAACAGATCACGCTCCCAGTCTTCAAGCAACATGGAAGACTGGCTTATCCACCCAGAAGCAGCTCTCATCAGCTCTACAGCTACTGTCTCTACACCGCAGGTCAGACACCCTAGAGCAGCAGTGCTTCTCTAAGCAGACACCAGCTCCTCTTCCTACCCCAAGCACCACTTCCTACCGACCCCAGCACACCTGTCCTGCCTCAGACGCCGCCCCCGGCCCAGCAGTACCCCCTGCCGCTCCTCCTGATGCGGCTCATGCGCCTGAGTGCGGACCCACACGCCCCTCTTTTCTCCCTCAGGTACTCCCTCCTACTGTCCTGCACCCTGCTGCTGTTGTGGACCCAGCTGCTGTCACGAGCCCTCATCCGCTTCTGCTGACGCAGCCCCTGCTCCTGACCCAGGCCCACACACCCCAGCAGGTGCATCTGACGACTCTTTACCTGCCGTGAGGGAAGCACAACATTCATCGCCTCCACACACCCTTTTTCTCCCTCTTTACTCCCACAGATATTGTGTATCTAGATAGTTGTGTCCAGCAACCGGCTCATCCACGCCATCGCCGTTGTCTCACATGAGGCATGCTTCGCCCGTTCTGCCTCACATGTGCTAAGCAACCCTGCAGACAACAAGTCTCCTACACCGCCTGGGGGGAAGGGGGAGTATTGTAGTGGATTTCTACCCTACAAACGCTGTTTGTCGCTGAGTAGCCGACCCCACTGTAGTGGAATTCTCCCCTACAAACGCTGTTTGTCGCTGCCTAGCCGACCCCACCAATTCCCCAGTATATGCCTCGTGGTCTAGGTCAACCAGCGCCGCCATACACCACGGAGCGGGGGTCAACTGCTAAGCCACGCCTACCCCCGCTATTTAAGACCTGACCTCGTGGTGATCTGCCTCTCTCAACCTACAGCCGCAGCCAGCAACACCTCCTCCTCCGCCGCTGCCTGGCGGCCTTCGCTCCTCCTCCGCCTGCCTGGCGGTCCTCGCTCCCGCTGGCGAGCCACAAGCTGTCCTTCTCTGAGCATCCTCACCAACCAGCTCTCTCTACATCACGCTTGTAACCATGCTGCCTTCCCAGCACCAAGCTGCATTGTACATCCAATACAACATGTATATAGAGAGCACATTGTGAGTTTCCTTTCTCCATCCCATCCTGAGTGTGAACCAAACATCCTGAACCCCACAAATGGTGACCCCTGGAGATTCGCACTCACACAGGATGGAGGAGAAACTGATCACGCTCCCAGTCTTCAAGCAACATGGAAGACTGGCTTATCCACCCAGAAGCAGCTCTCATCGGCTCTACAGCTACTGTCTCTACACCGCAGGTTAGACACCCTAGAGCAGCTCTGCTACTCTAAGCAGACACCAGCTCCTCTTCCTGCCCTAAGCACCACGTCCTACCGACCCCAGCACACCCGTCCTGCCTCAGACGCCGACCCCGGCCCAGCAGTAACCCCTGCCGCCCTTGATGCGGCCTCTGTTCCTGAGTGCGGACACACACACCCCTCTTTTCTCCCCCAGGTACTCCCTGCTAATGTCCTGCACCCTGCTGCTGTCGTGGACCCAGCTGCTGTCACGAGCCCTCATCCGTTTCTGCTGACGCAGCCCCTGCTCCTGACCCAGGCCCACACACCCCAGCAGGCGCATCTGACGACTCGGTACCTGCCGTGAGGGAAGCACAAAATTCATCGCCTCCACACACCCTTATTCTCCCTCTCTACTCCCACAGATATTGTGTATCTAGACAGTTGTCCCCAGCGACCGGCTCATCCACGCCATCGCCGTTGTCTCACATGAGGCACGCACCGCCCGTTCTGCCTCACATGTGCTATGCAACCCTGCAGACAACAAGTCTCCTACACAGCCTGGAGGGAAGGGGGAGTATTGTAGTGGAATTCTCCCCTACAAACGCTGTTTGTCGCTGCCTAGCCGACCCCACCAATTCCCCAGTGTATGCCTCGTGGTCTAGGTCAACCAGCGCCGCCATACACCACGGAGCGGGGGTCAACTGCTAAGCCACGCCTACCCCCGCTATTTAAGACCTGACCTCGTGGTGATCTGCCTCTCTCTACCTACAGCCGCAGCCAGCAACACCTCCTCCTCCGCCGCTGCCTGGCGGCCTTCGCTCCTCCTCCGCCTGCCTGGCGGTCCTCGCTCCCGCTGGCGAGCCACAAGCTGTCCTTCTCTGAGCGTCCTCACCAACCAGCTCTCTCTACATCACGCTTGTAACCATGCTGCCTTCCCAGCACCAAGCTGCATTGTACATCCAATACAACATGTATATAGAGAGCACATTGTGAGTTTCCTTTCTCCATCCCATCCTGAGTGTGAACCAAACATCTCATACCCCACACCACCAATTCCCCAGTGTATGCCTCGTGGTCTAGGTCAACCAGCGCCGCCATACATCACGGAGCGGGGGTCAACTATCAAGCCACGCCAACCTCCGCTATTTAAGACCTGACCTTGTGGTGACCTCTCTCTTTCTACCTACACCAACCAGCCAGCATCATCTCCTCCGCCTGCCTGGCGGTCCTCACTCCCGCCGGCGACCATGGCGACCCACAAGCTGGTCCTCCTCTTAGCATCCTCACCAACCAGCTCTCTCTACATCACGCTTGTAACCATACTGCCTTCCCAGCACCAAGCTGCATTGTACATCCACTACAACATGTATATAGAGAGCACATTGTGAGTTTCCTTTCTCCATCCCATCCTGAGTGAACACCAAACATCCCATACCCCACAAGACCTCCACGGTTTCCCTCTCCTCTCTCTCTGTCTCTCTCTCTCTCTCTCGCCATTACAGTTTCATGGTTTTTTTTCCGTGGAGAAAATGATGGAAGCTGAAATTCCGGACTTTTGAAGAATTTTAAAAATTACTTCCGGATGAAGATTTCGAGACCTAAATGGAGGACATGTCCGGGAAAATACGGACATATGGCAACCCTACCGGCGTACAGTACTTGCCAACGTTGCGTAACAGACGTGACCGCTCACCCAAGTGGTGAAAAGGATATAAGTAAAAAAAAAAAAAAATAGTAAAAGCGATGGCCGCCGGCCGCGACTAGTAACCGGCTGTATGCTATATCATGACCCGGGACTCCGATAAACAATAAAGTCGTCAAACGAAATTTTCGCAGGCTAACGCAGTCAAGACTCAAGATTTAAGTAGTAAATGAAAGAAAGTTCAATATGCTGGACCAGTAATATTGTTTAACACGTCATCATCGATTACAAGGTATAAGTATGTTTGTTTAACTGGGTAAAGTTTGATTAGGTAATGAAAAGTCTGATTCGGTTATCAATCCTGAGGAATCTGATAACGAGCACAAATTCAGACCTGGCAACTGTAGTTGGTCCAACACACACACCTGGGCGCTCTGTGTCAGGCTGCGAGGAAACAAGTGCATTGAGTAATTTGCGTGCTAGTGTATGTGGTAATCATGGCAGCATTAAGAGTCAGTAAAGTTCCTGGGGTTCTCCACTGGCTATTGAGAAATACGAGACCTCAAATTTCAAGGGTAAGCTTACATAATATCACATGTAATTAGTTCTGCAGTCTTATAAAATTCAATTAGGTAGATAAGATACTGCTTAGTGTTGGTTTGGGTACCGGAGGCCCGGGATGCACTTCAGAAGCCATTACCGGTCCGACTAATTACCCAAATGTAGCCAAATGTAGCCGCAATAAAGTCAAATAATGGTCCTACGTGAATAAATCGGACTGCCAATCACTTCTCGACTGGTATTTGGTGTCACGGTCACAAAAAATTGGTAAACTTAATTTAATCTGAGTTAATAGATCGAGTGCATGTACCTAACCTAACCTAACCTAACCTAACCTAACACAACACAACTCAGATTAAATTAAATTTATCAATTTTTTGTGACTATGACACCAAATAATAATCGAGGAGTGATTGGCAGTCCGATTTATTCATGTAGGACCATTATTTGACTTCATTGCGGCTACATTTGGGTAATTACTCGCTCCCTCGGTACATGCATGCGATCTATTAACTCAGATTAAAGTAAGTTTTCCAATTTTTTGTGACTTTGTGACACCAAATACTAGTCGAGAAGTGATTAACAGTCCGATTTATTCATGTAGGACCATTATTTGACTTCATTGCGGCTACATTTTACTATATTTGGGTACATTTGGGTAATTATTCGGACCGACATCAGTGAAGTGTTTAATGATAAAGGGAATTAAATTGAACAAGGAAATAACTTACCAGTAATTGGAATAGTATTTTTGCAGTTTGGGTATTTTTTTTTTTTTTTTGCAAGTTGGCCATGTCCCACAATATTTTTCGGTCTAGTTCTAGGTATATCTCGTTATTTCTAATAACGTTTCTTAGTAACATTTCCTGCGCAAATGACTCGTTTTCGAGAAAATTGCATTAATTTGTTAGGTTAGGTTGTTAGTTTGGTTAAGTTAAATGAGGTTTGTTGTATCGATCTGAGCTCCTTTGGGTGGGATCCTTGGGTGGAGCCCCCCATCTGCCCTTGTTGGTTAGGTAATACGCATATATATTCTAAACAATGGCGGTTAGGTCAGGTTAGGATAGCACAGAAACTGATTTTCAGATGAAACCTAATTTTTTCTGATGGGTCATGATGTGATTCCTTTGAATTTGATAATAATCTTTTGCCAAAACTTGGCTTGGATTCCAAAATTTTTGCCTTTTTTACTACTTAAAAACGGAAAATCCGAGCCAACCTTTGCCAAAGCTTGGCTCGGAGTTTCAAATTTTGTTTTTTCTTCACTTGTTAAAAACGGAAAATCCGAGCCAAGTTTGGTCATTTACTGTATATAGCATTTTTGTCCACCCCCCACCCAAAAACCCGATTTCCCATGGGTTCCCCCAGAGTGTCAAACTCAAAAACAAGTCATTTGTGATAGAAATGAGGGTCAGAATCGTTCAAAACACATCATAAACCATCGGAAAATGTAAGTTTTATGTCAAAAACTATTACTGTATGGTAACTTGTAAAAATTTACAACAGTTTTGGCTAATATTAATGACTAACCCTCCAATGTGTTATTTGTTTTGGTGTTTATTTTTTTGGTAATTATATAGAACTAACCCGCAGCCGAAATTGATTGAAAACGATTGTAAAAATGCTGGATTTTCACTGTCATTTGGGTAAATTTTTACTTTAGGACATGAGGCCTTAGGGGTTGACCAATATGTTTTTCCAGTGTATTTTAAACGAATCTGACCTTCATTTTGGGCGGAAATAGCTAGTTTTTGCCCCCCTCTCCACGATAATAGGGAGAGAGCCTGGGAAATCGGGGTTTTTGGGTGGGGGAGAAAACGAGTCATCTGACCTAACAAAACCTAACCTAACTCCTAGCCGGGGCCCCCAGCTGGTCTAACCTGACCCCTAGCCCGGTAGGCCGAGCTTAAACTAACCTAAATGTTTCGGTAGTTAAAAACTTTGGGGCGCGCCATGTCCGAAAGTACAATACCTTAGTTAGAAGTGGAAGGACCAAGGATACGTAAGAATTGGATAAAATAATAGTCTTTCTCGTAAAACTAGGCAATAAACTTAAAATAATCGTAGGAGTACAAACGAAAACCTACCTCCACCACGGCCATTGTGAAACTGGTCAATGAAATTAAAATCATACCCAGGATGCTTTCTTTGAGAAAAATCATATGTGATTGGTCGAAAAAAATTTGTGTGATGATATCGATGCCTCATTGGTCACAACTGGATGGCCTCAGTCAACATTGCTCATGCGTAATGTGCAGATAACATCTCCTCACAGACGAAGACTTAAAACTACTTAAAATCATTTAAATTCAGTTGTGTCGCTATTTTCCATTTCCGCCATGTATATATGAGGTTCAAAATGCTCAGAATAGCGACATCTAAATGTTTCAGTAGTTTATAACTTTCTGGGGCACTGTGTCCGAAAGTAAAATAATACCGTTATTTTATAGTGGACACTGTTTTAGTTTGTGCAAATATGTTAAAAATGGATTTTTTTAAATAAACGTTACTTAACATTTGTGAGTATGAAGAACAGACCTAACCAACCTAACCTAACAAACCTACCTAACCTTACCTAATGGAGCCCCCTGGAACCCCCTGTATATTAAACAGAAAGAACTTACTGTGATATGGTGAAATTTGAGGCATTTTTTGGACACGAGATGATGTGAGCGCATCGGCACTAAGGAACCCAGACGGCGGAGTGATTTACTGTGATGGCGGGAAACGTCGAGCCACAGCTTTGAGGAAGTGTTATTTCACAATATTTATGTGTAAAATACTTTGTAAAAAGAAAAATATACAGTGATCCCTCAGTTAACGAGCGCCTCGGTTAACGAGTTACCTTCCATAAGATTCTTAACTTCGGTTAACGAGCAATCCCTCGATTAATGAGTTTTTTACAAGCCGACCTCAACATGTTTTCGCTTGCATTTGGCGGTCCACCACCTGTAGTATTAGTCCGCCAATACAGTAATCGGTTTTAGGGCTTAAATTCCTTACTATTTTAGTAAATATCAAGAAGTATATACTATTCAATAATTTTAAAAGTTTAATATTAATATTTTTTAGTCATTTTAACAATTATTGAACATAATTGAAGGTAAAGAAACTAGTTTCTGGCACGCTATCCAGCCTGTTAACACACAAACGGGCGTTAGTCTCTCTTTTCAGTGAAGGTAACATATTGCTTGAGACTCTCTTCAACTAAATGCTTTTTTTCTGTGTTTCCAAGCAAATTATGGATCATTTTGAAATTTATTTTACATATTGACAATATATAATGCAGTGCAGTGTTGATTTAAAGAAAATAATCTTGAATTACACAAGAGAGCTAAAATTTTATGGGTGAAATGGCGCCATGGGGTGACTTCTCTTCCACCCCAGTGCCTTCTCTTCTCCCTTCTCCTCCACCCCCATTCTAATTCCCATCATATCATCATCCAGGAGCCTTCTACATACACACCTCAAAGTAAGTGTGCTTTTCTACATTTTTTGTTGAATTTAGGCAATTTTCTGTGAGCTGGAACCAATTACCCAAAAACCCATTGAAACAATGGTTTCGGTTAATGAGTTTTTCGGTTAACGAGCAACATGCTGGAACAGATTGTGCTCGTTAACCGAGGGACCACTGTAAATAAAATAAAAAAACTGAGCTGAATCTTGGCATTTTCAAGCCAAGTTCCTTTATGTGGACTAGAACTGGAGCCACAATACTCCAGCCGCTTGTTTTTCTTGTTTATAATTTTCTTATTACATTGAAAAAAATTTCTTTCCCGTTGGAAAGTACAGGGATTTCAGCAGTGTGGACAGTCTCTAGCTAAAGGAATAATGCCGTGATCTTTAAACAATTGAAGGGTCTCGTTGTCTTTATCCCTAAATTAGCAAATTGCGTCCATGTAAGACCTGCGACAATTTTCACATGATATGCTGAAAAATAAACTGCCCCGGGCGCAATTCTGGGCCTCATTACCGCCTGGAAGACAAACTAGTGTGCGCCTAGGCGCCTAATTATCTATGAAATGAAAATTTGCTCAATAAGGATTATCATATCAGAACTCACTGATAAAAATAATGTAAGAAAATAAACTGTAATAAAAATAACTCGACCGCGGGTTAGTCCTATATGTTAACCATTTTTTTTTATTATATTTTCATCAGTGAATTCTGATATGTTAATAATTTCTTTGGAAAATGATTGAATAATATTTAGAAGTTGCCAACACTTACTTATATATTGAGTCTTATATAGGGAGAAAGGGAAAAAAATTAAAAATAATTTATTCTATGACGTTTCTGTCGGAAATTTATATTCTTTGAGTATTTTAAGCCACCCAGTGGAAGCACTGAAGGGCTTGGGCTCCACAACCCCTATTTTTCTTGCCACTGCTGTGTAGAGTTCCCGGGTGTGGTCCTGCAGTGCCCAAGTGTCGACCGCCATGTTCCTTCTTGACTGACGAATAATGTAGCTTACCAACAAACTCTCGCTCTTCAGCAGCACCTTATTGTGGCAATATTTCACCAGCGAGGCACCTGCAGACTTGGTAATGTTCATGTGTTCATTGATTTTGCCGGCATCCTTCTTGATAGTGCGGATCATCGATTCATTCACTCCATATTGTCTGGCGAGACCCACCTGTCTAGTGCCTTTTTCTAACTTCTGGACGATCTTGTACTTTACCTCATAGCTTAAGGCGCATATCACCTTCTTGGGCTTGGGGCGGCTTGGGCCAGGTAGTTCAGGGTTTCTCGAGGGTAGTGGGGCTCCAGCAGAAGCCATTGTGTAGAAAGAAAAAACAAAACCCGTTCCTGGGCACGAGTGAATATACGCGGGGACAGTGACACTGACGTGGCGGTGGTGGAGAGCGTGGGTGGTGGGGGTGGCAAGGAAAACTAGACCAATCACAGCACGCGGCGGAGGGGGTGCGTGGGTGGAAAGGATACGTGGCCCAATCACAGTCTGCGACGTCACTGGCGCGAGTCTGACATCAGCACCCAGCACCTTGCCCCGCCA